GTGGGGTTGGGAATATTTGGGAATGCCGAAAGCTTGGGAATGTCCCTGTCTCTCCATCCCTCCCTGCTTTGGGAATTGGGAATGGGACCGTGATCCCTTTTCCAGAGTAGATCCCCCTCGTGCCGGGAATCCATTTCCATGGCCTCCGGACACGGATCAGGCCGGAAAATCCGGATCCCACGTTCCGGGATGAGGGAATGAAGAGCTCCCGGAGCTCCTCTGGATCCCAACCCATCCATGGGGCCGAGCTGGGAATGTCTGGGAGATCGGAGAGGGCTGGATCCGCCCAAACCCCTCCAGATCCCGACCCAACCTCCCGCTGAATTCCCAGAAAATTCCATTCGAGGGTGACCCCGCTCATGGCGAGGAGGGGTTGGAACCCCACGGAGATCCCGGAATTCCCGGGAATGAGGGATCGGGAAGGGGTCCCACCTTCGTAGGCGTAGTTGGGTTTGTTGAGGGGATCCGACAGGAAGCAGGAGCAGAAGAGGGAGACGAGGGGCAGCTCCTTCATCTTCTCCTTGTAGGCTGGGAAGAGACGGCGGGATCGGGATCAGAGCGGCTCCGAGGGCCGGGAAAAGTTTGGGATTGGGGAAAAAGGGATGAGGGGGCTCCATGTGACGGGAAAAGTTTGGGATTGGGGAAAAAGGGATGAGGGGGCTCCATGTGACGGGAAAAGTTTGGGATTGGGGAAAATGGGATGAGGAGGCTCCATGTGACAGGAAAAGTTTGGGATTGGGGAAAAAGGGATGCAGGGATTTCCAAGGGTCAGGAAAAGTTTGGGATTGGGGAAAAAGGATGGAGAGATTTCCAAGGGTCAGGAAAAGTTTGGGATTGGGGAAAAAGGGATGAGGGAGCTCCATGTGATGGGAAAAGTTTGGGATTGGGGGAAAAGGGATGAGGGGGCTCCATGTGACGGGAAAAGTTTGGGATTGGGGAAAAATGGATGCAGGGATTTCCAAGGGTCAGGAAAAAATTGGGATTGGGGAAAAAAGGATGGAGAGATTTCCAAGAGTCAGGAAAAGTTTGGGATTGGGGAAAAAGGGATGAGGGGTTCCATGTGACGGGAAAAGTTTGGGATTGGGGTCAGAGGGATGAGGGTGGCTCCATCTGCCAGAAAAAAATTGGGATTGGGGAAAAAGGGATGCAGGGATTTCCAGGGGTCAGGAAAAGTTTGGGATTGGGGAAAAAGGGATGAGGGGGCTCCATGTGCCAGGAAAAGTTTGGGATTGGGGAAAAAATGATGGAGATTTCCAAGGGTCAGGAAAAGTTTGGGATTGGGGTCAGAGGGATGAGGGGGCTCCATGTGACAGGAAAAGTTTGGGATTGGGGAAAAAGGGATGAGGAGGCTCCATGTGACGGGAAAAGTTTGGGATTGGGGAAAAAGGGATGAGGGGGCTCCATGTGACAGGAAAAGTTTGGGATTGGGGAAAAAGGGATGAGGGGGCTCCATGTGACAGGAAAAGTTTGGGATTGGGGAAAAAAGGATGGAGAGATTTCCATGTGACGGGAAAAGTTTGGGATTGGGGTCAGAGGGATGAGGGGGCTCCATGTGACGGGAAAAGTTTGGGATTGGGGAAAAAGGGATGCAGGGATTTCCAAGGGTCAGGAAAAGTTTGGGATTGGGGAAAAAGGGATGAGGGGGCTCCATGTGACAGGAAAAGTTTGGGATTGGGGAAAAAGGGATGAGGGAGCTCCATGTGATGGGAAAAGTTTGGGATTGGGGAAAAAGGGATGGAGAGATTTCCAAGGGTCAGGAAAAGTTTGGGATTGGGGAAAAAGGGATGGAGAGATTTCCAAGAGTCAGGAAAAGTTTGGGATTGGGGTCAGAAGGATGAGAGGGCTCCATGTGCCAGGAAAAGTTTGGGATTGGGGAAAATGGGATGGAGAGATTTCCAAGGGTCAGGAAAAGTTTGGGATTGGGGTCAGAGGGATGCAGGCGGCTCCATGTGATGGGAAAAGTTTGGGATTGGGGTCAGAGGGATGCAGGCGGCTCCATGTGATGGGAAAAGTTTGGGATTGGGGAAAAAAGGATAGAGAGATTTCCAAGAGTCAGTAAATGTTTGGGATTGGGGAAAAAGGGATGGAGACATTTCCAAGGGTCAGGAAAAGTTTGGGATTGGGGTCAGAGGGATGAGGGAGGCTCCATGTGATGGGAAAAGTTTGGGACTGGGGAAAAAAAGATGGAGATTTCCAAGGGTCAGGAAAAGGTTGGGATTGGGGTCAGAGGGATGAGGGGGCTCCATGTGACAGGAAAAGTTTGGGATTGGGGAAAAAGGGATGAGGGGGTTCCATGTGCCAGGAAATGTTTGGGATTGGAGAAAAAGGGATGAGGGGGCTCCATGTGACAGGAAAAGTTTGGGATTGGGGAAAAAGGGATGAGGGGGTTCCATGTGACAGGAAAAGTTTGGGATTGGGGAAAAAGGGATGGAGAGATTTCCAAGGGTCAGGAAAAGTTTGGGATTAGGGAAAAAAGACTGGAGAGATTTCCAAGGGTCAGGAAAAGTTTGGGATTGGGGAAAAAGGGATGCAGGGATTTCCAAGGGTCAGGAAAAGTTTGGGATTGGGGAAAAAGGGATGAGGGGGCTCCATGTGATGGGAAAAGTTTGGGATTGGGGAAAAAGGGATGCAGGGATTTCCAAGAGTCAGGAAAAGATTGGGATTGGGGAAAAAAGGATGGAGAGATTTCCAAGGGTCAGGAAAAGTTTGGGATTGGGGTCAGAGGGATGGGGGAATTCCTAATTCCAGGGAAGGGATGAGATCAGGATCAGAGGGATACAGGAATTCCAAATTCCAGGGAAGAAGTGGGATTGGGTTCATAGGGATGGGGGAATTCCTAATTCCAGGAAAATTATTTGGATTGGGATCAGAGGGATGGGGGGAATTCCACATTCCAGGAAAGGGATGGGATCGGGATGGTGGCCAGCCCCTGATGTTCCCAGCAGGATGAGCCCAGGATCCAGACGTGCAAATGGAAAATTTGGGATCATCCCGGGCTGTCAATCCCGGTTTGACACCATCGGGATGTCGGGAGCATTCCGGAGCCGGGATGAGCCCGGGAATCCCCGGGATGGGTTTGGGGTGCCGGAGGGTTTGGGGTGGCGTACCGGCCAGAGTCATGGCGAGGAAATCCTTGGAATTCTGCAGGAAGAACGATCCCGGGACCTGTGGAGGGAAGGAAGGGATGGGGTCAGTGGTGGGGCCTTGGGAATGGGATGATGGGATGGGATGGAATTGGGATTGGGATTGGGATGGGATGGGATTGGGATTGGGATTGGGATGGGATGGGATGGGATGGGATGGGATGGGATCCATGGGATGGGATCAATGGGATGGGATCCATGGGATGGGATGGGATGGGATCCATGGGATGGGATGGGATGGGATGGGATGGGGTGGGATGGGATGGGATGGGATGGGATGGGATGGGATGGGATGGGATGGGATGGGATGGGATGGGATGGGATCCATGGGATGGGATCCATGGGATGGGATGGGATGGGATGGGATGGATGGGATGGGATGGGATGGGATGGGATGGGATGGGATGGGATGGGATGGGATGGGATGGGATGGGATGGGATGGGATGGGATGGGATCCATGGGATGGGATCCATGGGATGGGATGGGATGGGATCCATGGGATGGGATGGGATTGGGTGCAGGTGGAGACACAGCTCTGGGGCAGGGTTGAGATTTGGAGTTTGGGATCTGGGCTTTGGGGTTTTGGCTTTGGGAGCTGTTCCCAGGGTAGGGATTAGGAATTTGGGGTTTTAGAGCTGTTCCCAGGGTTGTGATCTGGGATTTGGGGTTTTGGGATCTGTTCCTAAGTTTGGGATTTGAGCTTTGGGGTTTTGGGAGCTGTTCCCACGGCTGGGATTTGGGTTTTCGGACCTGTTCCCAGAGTTGTGATTTGGGACCTGTTCCAGAGCTGGGATCTGGGACCTGTTCCCAGGTTTGGGATTTGGGGTTTGGGAGTTGTTCCCAGAGATGGGATGGGATGGGATGAGATGAAATGGGAATGGGATTGGGATTGGATGAGAAGGGATAAAGGGATGGGAACACACTGGAGTGATGGGATGGGATAACGGAATGGGATGATTTGGGATGGGATGAGATAATGGGATAATGGGATCTAGGCATGGGATAATGGGATGGGAAGGGATGGGATAATGGGATGGGAAGGGATGATTTGGAATGGGATGGGATGGGATAATGGGATGGAATGGGATGATTTGGGATGGGATAATGTAAAAGGAACACACTGGAGTGGTGGGATGGGATGGGATGATTTGGGATGGGATGGGACAGGATAATGGGATGGGATGGGATGATTCGGGATGGGATAATGGGATGGAATGGGATGATTTGGAATGGGATGGGATGGGATAATGGGATGGGCACACACCGGGATGCCAGACACATCCCATGGGATGTTCCTGGCGCACGCAGCCCTTCCCAGCTCCACATTCCCAACCCACACGTATGAGGACACATGCCGGGAGCCACACCTGGACACACCTGGACACACCTGGACACACCTGGACACTCCTGGACACTCCTGGACCCCTCCCGAATTCCCCCTCCAATTCCCCCCACTCGTATCCCGACATTCCCAGTCCTCAGCTCCCCCCTCCCTGATGCTCCAGGATCCTCTCCCACATCCCACTGGGATCATTCCCGGGGTCTCCATGGACGTGGGAGCATCCCCAGGACCCCCACCCACCCCCAGGTCTTGGAACGGGAATTGGGAATCGTGAAAACCAGGATAATCCGGACTGGTCCCCATTCCTGGGGTTTTTGGGTGTGGAAATGTGGAAACGCCCTTCCCAGCACCACCAAAGCATGGAACGAGGCGGGATTTGGGGATTATTCCCGGATTTTGATCCCCAAATCCATCCTTTCAAACAGGGATCCTTAAATCCCCGCAGCTCCCGAGGGAATGAGCATTCCCGGGCTGTGCCACGCCCCACACATCCCGGGAAATCCCAGTCCTCATCCCCCAATCCAGCCGGGATCTGCCCTGGGAATCCCAAAAATAACCCGGCCGCAGCTTCCGGGGGCGGCTGTGGGGTGGGAACAGGGAGAAAATGTGGGAATATCCAGCTGGGATCACCATCATGAAATCCGGGAGCCACCTCCAGGTCTGACCTTCCCAGTGCTCCCAGAGCCATTCCCAGCTCCAGAATTTGATCCCAAAATCAATTCCCAAAAATTCCATTCATGAAATCCGGGAGCCACCTCCAGGTCTGACCTTCCCAGCGCCATTCCCAGCTCCAGGATTTGATCCCAAAATCAATTCCTAAAAAAAACCACTCCTGAAATGTGGGACATGGAGCCACCTCCAGGTCCGACCTTCCCAGTGCTCCCAGAGCCATTCCCAGCTCCAGGATTTGATCCCAAAATCAATTCCCAAAAAAGCCACTCCTGAAATCCAGGAGCCACCTCCAGGTCTGACCTTCCCAGTGCTCCCAGAGCCATTCCCAGCTCCAGGATTTGATCCCAAAATCAATTCCCAAAAAAACCACTCCTGAAATCCAGGAGCCACCTCCAGGTCTGACCTTCCCAGCACCATTCCCAGCTCCAGGATTTGATCCCAAAATCAATTCCCAAAAAAGCCACTCCTGAAATCAGGGAGCCACCTCCAGGTCTGACCTTCCCAGAGCCATTCCCAGCACCATTCCCAGCTCCAGGATTTGATCCAAAAATCAATTCCCAAAAAATCCATTAATGAAATCCAGGAGCCATCTCCAGGTCTGACCTTCCCAGTTGTTCCCAGCTCCAGGATTTGATCCCAAAATCAATTCCCAAAAAAAACGCTCCTGAAATCAGGGAGCCACCTCCAGGTCTGACCTTCCCAGCACCATTCCCAGCTCCAGAATTTGATCCCAAAATCAATTCCAAAAAAAACCACTCCTGAAATCCAGGAGCCACCTCCAGGTCTGACCTTCCCAGCACCATTCCCAGCTCCAGGATTTGATCCCAAAATCAATTCCCAAAAAAACCACTCCTGAAATCAGGGAGCCACCTCCAGGTCTGAGCTTCCCAGCGCCATTCCCAGCTCCAGAATTTGATCCCAAAATCAATTCCCAAAAAAACCACTCCTGAAATCAGGGAGCCACCTCCAGGTCTGACCTTCCCAGCGCCATTCCCAGCTCCAGGATTTGATCCCAAAATCAATTCCCAAAAAAACCACTCCTGAAATCAGGGAGCCACCATCCGCTTTTCCAGGTGGGGCTGGTGGGGGGGTCGGGCGGGGATGCTCCGATGGATTCCTGGATTCCGGTTATCCACGGATAACCCGGCTGGAAGCGATTCCCACCCCGAATCCTGCTTTTCCCAGGGATTTGCTGGCATTCCGTGCCCGTTCCCCAGACCTCACGTGGCGTTCCCTCGGGATGGAACGTGGGGATCGCCCACCGGAGGCGGAACGGGTGGAAAAGGGGATCGGTCCCTATGGATACGGCTGGATGGGAGGGGAGTGGTCCGGCCCTGCTCCTGCCTGGATGAGGAGGATTTTCCAGGGGTTTGGAGGAGGGAATTCCCTCCCTGCCCCATTCCCAGTGGGAGCGCGCTGTCGGGGACCTGCTGCTGTCACCCCAAAATCCCAGCGTGGATGGAATGATCCCAATCCTGACCAGGCGATCCCATTCCTGACCAGGCGATCCCAATCCTAACCAGGTGATCCCATTCCCAGACAGGTGATCCCATTCCCAACCAGGTGATCCCATTCCTGACCAGGCGATCCCATTCCTGACCAGGTGATCCCATTCCCAACCAGGTGATCCCATTCCCAACCAGGTGATCCCAATCCTGACCAGGCGATCCCATTCCCAACCAGGCAATCCCATTCCCAACCAGGCAATCCCATTCCAGACCAGGTGATCCCATTCCCAACCAGTTGATCTCATTCCTGACCAGGCGATCCCATTCCCAACCAGGCGATCCCAATCCCAACCAGTTGATCCCATTCCCAACCAGGTGATCCCATTCCTGACCAGGTGATCCTATTCCTGACCAGGCGATCCCATTCCCGACCACGCGATTCCATTCCCAGTCGCACAATCCCATTCCCAGCCATGTGATCCCATTCCCAACCAGGCAATCCCGTTCCCAGCCATGTGATCCCATTCCCAACCACACAATCCCATTCCCAGCCATGTGATCACATTCCTGATCACACAATCCCATTCCCAACCACGTGATCACATTCCGAACCACTCCATCCTATTCCTGGCTGCACAATCCCATTTCTGGCCACACGATTCCATTCCTGACTATGAGATCCCATTCCCAGCCACGTGATCCCATTCCCAACCATGCGATCCCATTCCCAACTACACAATCCCATTCCCAGCTGCACAATCCCATTCCCAGACATGTGATCCCATTCCTGACCACACAATCCCATTCCCGACCACACAATCCCATTCCCAACCACTCCATCCTATTCCTGGCTGCACAATCCCATTCCCAGCCACGTGATCCCATTCCTAACCATGTGATCCCATTCCCAGTTGTGCGATTCCATTCCCAATCAAGTGATCCCATTCCCAATCACACAATCCCTTTCCTGCCTATGGGATCCCATTCCCGACCACACAATCCCATTCCCGACCACGCGATCCCATTCCCAACCACACAATCCCATTCCCAGCTGCACAATCCCATTCCTGACCACACAATCCCATTCCTGACCACACAATCCCATTCCCGACCACACAATCCCATTTCCAACCACACAATCCCATTCCCAGCTGCACAATCCCATTCCCAACCACACAATCCCATTCCCAGCCACGCGATCCCATTCCCAACCACGTGATCCCATTCCCGACCACACAATCCCATTCCCAACCACACAATTCCATTGCCAACCACACCATCCCATTCCCAACCACGTGATCCCATTTCCAGCCACACAATCCCATTCCCAGCTGCACAATCCCATTCCCAACCACGCCATCCCATTCCTGACCACGCCATCCCATTCCCAGCCGCACAATCCCATTCCCCGCCAGCCGCACGTGGCAGGGAGCGGGATCCCGCGGGATCCACCCCCCTCTTTTCCCACCCTGAATTCCAAGGGAAGGACCCTCCCATCTCCCATCTTTTCCCCTGGAAAACTCATCCAGCCATGGATGAAGAGGCTGGGGGTGGGGTGGGGTGGGGGGGTCTCCCCATTCCCTGCCTGGAAGCTTGGGAAGCTCCAGAGGGGGAAAAATGGGAAGGCAGCGCCTTCTCCTTCCCTCCCTCCCCATCCCTTTTCCCATTTCCCTGGAATAAAAATTCCAGCGGCTGCAGGAATTCAGATCCTGCCCTCGTGGGGCGGGGGGGCTCCGGTCCCACATTTTGGGGGGCTCTGGGTGGGGCTGTGCAGCCCCCGAGTGGGGGGAAAAATCCCGGGAATGCTGAAGAGGATCCTACCAGGATAACCCCAGGGTGAGGGTCTCCCAAAAATTCGGGGCGGGGATCCCAGGAATGCGGAGGGAGCGGGGTCCGCCCTGGGAATTTGGGACTCCGAGGATGGTGGAGGGGGAGAAATCCTGGGATTTTGGGCGTTTGGGGTTCCCCTGAGGATTTTGAGGGTGCAGAATCCCGGGATTTTGGGGATTTCGGGGTCCCCCGGGAATGCTGGAGCTGCAAAATCCCAGGATTTTGGGGGGGTTAGGGTCCCCGAGGATTTTCAGGGTGCAGAATCCCGGGATTTGGGGGGGGCGGGTCCCCTGAGCATACTGAGGGTGCAAAATCCCGGGATTTTGGGGATTTCGGGGTCCCCCGGGAGTGCTGGAGCTGCAAAATCCCAGGATTTTGGGGGGTTCGGGTCCCCCGAAGATTTTGAGGGTGCAAAATCCCAGGATTTTGGGGGGGTTCTGGTCCCCCGGGAATGCTGTGGGGGCGAAATTCTGGGATTTTTGGGGGGGTTGGGGTCCCCCGAGGATTTTGAGGGTGCAGAATCCCGGGATTTTAGGGGGTTGGGATCCCCCGAGGATTTTGAGGGTGCAAAAATCCCGGGATTTTGTGGGGTTCGGGTTCCCCGAGGATTTTGAGGGTGCAGAATCCCGGGATTTGGGGGGGGTTGGGGTCCCCCAAGGATGCCGGGGGTGCAGAATCCCGGGATTTTTGGGGATTTCGGTGTCCCCCGGGAATGCTGGAGCTTCATAATCCCAGGATTTTGGAGGGTTCGGGTCCCCCGAGGATTTTGAAGGTGCAAAATCCCGGGATTTTGGGGGGTTCGGGTCCCCCGAGGATTTTGAGGGTGCAGAATCCCGGGATTTTTGGGATTTCGGAGTCCCCCGGGAATGCTGGAGCTGCAAAATCCCGGGATTTTGGGGGGTTAGGATCCCCCAAGGATTTTGAGGGTGCAGAATCCCGGGATTTCGGGGGGTTGGGGTCCCCCGGGGAGGCTGGATGGGGCAAAATCCCGGGATTTTGGGGGGTTAGGATCCCCCGAGGATTTTGAGGGTGCAAAATCCCAGGATTTTGGTGGGGGGTTAGGATCCCCCAAGGATTTTGAGGGTGCAGAATCCCGGGATTTTGGGGTCCCCGGTCCTTCAGGAATGCTGGAATAGGGATGTACCCCCCCCCCCCCGCCCCCCGGAAAATCCTGGGAATTCTGGGGGTGCAGAATCCCTCGGGAATTCTAGGAGCCCCCCTGAGGACGCTGATCCAACAACCCCCTCCCCCCAAACCCAAATTGGGGGCGGCGGCCGAGGACGAGGACGAGGATGAGGATGAGGATGAGGATGAGGATGAGGATGAGGATGAGGATGAGGATGAAGATTGGGCGGGGAAATCTCCAAAAGGAACGGGATAAGGAATTCCAGAGGGCTGGAAAACGCCCCGGGAAGAGCGGGACCAACACCCCAAAAAAGCGATGGCGACACCAGGGTGGGGGGCAAAATGAGGACCCCCCCAAAAAACAAAACAAAAAAAACCAATAAACCTTTTCCCCAAAATCTTAAACCCTCCCAAAAAAAAAACCAAAAAAAAAAAAACCCCAAAAAACCCAACCTGACGTACATCAAGCACCCCAAATCGATCCAAAATTCCCCCAAATTCCCCCAAAATTCCAGGGGGGCCCCGGGACTCACCCCACGGCGGTGGTCGCGCTGCTCCCGGCGCTCTCCCGCTCCTTTAACGCGGCTTTGGAATATCCCGGCTGGGGGGGTCCCCAGAGCCCCCCATGACATCATCACCCAGCGCTCTGATTGGCGGAGAGCCCGTGCGAATGAGGGCCCCGCCCGGTGACGTCACAGCCCGCAGCTATTTTGGGGTTGGAACAGGGAAAAAAGGGAAAATAAAAAAAAAGGGAGGAAAAAAAGGGATGGGTGGGAAAAAAAAGGGGTTTGGGGTGAAAAATGGGGGTTTGGGGTGGGGTGTGGGGGGGTGAGGAGCAGGGTGGGGGTGGGGGGACAAAGTGACAAAGGGACACGGAGGGGGTCGGGGCGTCGCCATGGGGGGGGGGGAGGGTGTCCCTGGGGCCTTCTTGTCGCATCGCGGGGAATTTGGGGTGTCCCCCGAATTTGGGGGGCAGTGGGGGGACAACTGCAGGGTGGGGGACAAGGGGGTGACATCGAAAATGGGGTGACATCGAAAATGGGGTGACATCGATGTGGGGGACAGTGGGGTGACATCGATGTGGGGGACAATGGGGTGACATCGATGTGGGGTGACATCGATTTGGGGGACAATGGGGTGACACCAGTGTGGGGGACAATGGGGTGACATCGATGTGGGGAACAATGGGGTGACATCGATGTGGGGGGGAAATGGGGTGACATCGATATGGGGGGGACAATGGGGTGACATCGATGTGGGGGAAAATGGGGTGACATCAATGTGGGGGACAATGGGGTGACATCGATATGGGGGGAGAATGGGGTGACATCGATGTGGGGGACAGTGGGGTGACATCGATGTGGGGGGGACAATGGGGTGACATCGATATGGGGGGAGAATGGGGTGACATCGATGTGGGGGACAGTGGGGTGACATCAAAAATGGGGTGACATCGATGTGGGGGGACAATGAGGTGACATCGATGTGGGGGGGACAATGAGGTGACATCGATGTGGGGGACAATGGGGTGACATCGATGTGGGGGGCAATGGGGTGACATCGAAAATGGGGTGACATCGATGTGGGGGACAATGGGGTGACACCGATGTGGGGGGACAATGGGGTGACATCGATGTGGGGGACAATGGGGTGACATCGATGTGGGGGACAATGGGGTGACATCGATGTGGGGGGGACAATGGGGTGACATCGAAAATGGGGGACAGTGGGGTGACATCAATAAGGGGGGACAATGGGGTGACATCGAAAATGGGGTGACATCAATATGGGGGACAGTGGGGTGACATCGATGTGGGGGACAATGGGGTGACTTCGATATGGGGGGACAGTGGGGTGACATCGATGTGGGGGACAATGGCGTGACATCGAAAATGGGGTGACATCGATGTGGGGGGACAGTGGGGTGACATCGATGTGGGGGACAGTGGGGTGACATCGATGTGGGGGGGAAAATAGGGTGACATCGAAAATGGGGTGACATCGATGTGGGGGGGACAATGGGGTGACATCGATGTGGGGGACAATGGGGTGACATCGAAAATGGGGTGACATCAGTGTGGGGGGGAAAATAGGGTGACATCGATGTGGGGGGCAGTGGGGTGACATCGATGTGGGGGACAATGGGGTGACATCGAAAATGGGGTGACATCAGTGTGGGGGGGACAATGGGGTGACATCGATGTAGGGGGACAGTGGGGGGACATCGAAAATGGGGGGGACAATGGGGTGACATCTATGTGGGGTGACATCGATGGGGGGGACAA